TGCTTTGTCGATGATTATAAGAATGCTCACTAGATCGCACACCCTCACTCATAACAGCGCACACTCTCACTCATAGCAGCGCACACCACTCTCGGCACGTCCGCTTCCTTTATCTTCGTCAGGTTTCCACGCAGTAAGCACACTTGGCCACCGCTCGGCTGCATTACAATCCACAAACCAAGGCAGCAGCGCGGTGGGCTCACAACGCAGCTGCAACTCGGACTCGCCGCCAAGACCCTGCGTGGACATCGCGGGAGGCCAAAGCAAATAAGGTTCACTCGCGAGTGAACCCGGAGCTGCGAGTTGTGTATATAAAATATATCTCGTTCATAGAAATGTATATGGTGCATCCAATTGCAAATTAATAAATGTTGTGCATGTAGAGTATGTATGACGACGTTGTCAATTTATATGTGAATACTGCAGATCTGTACGGAGAGTTTGCGGCCTACTCGATCATATTTCATATCTGAGCAAGTTTCTCTAACATAATTATCTTTGTCGATATAGCGCTGATGTCTTTTAATCCCTAGATTTGTGGGTGGGCTCTTACTGATTTGGTGATTAAGAGAGATACAACAGAGGAAGAAGACAACGAAGCTGTTGCTGCTTGGCTAAGTAGCTCTGTCTGCATTTATCGTTTATTTTTGTTTAAATTACGGCTCAGCACTGCTCAAGACGTCGGACGACTCGAAAAGGTACCTACCGTATCGGCAACTGACGGGTGCTGCACAGCCCGCCGCGTCGAAAGGTGCTAGAAGAGACAAAACAAGCATCAGGGAGAGTGCCGCCATGACCTCCCAAGGTGTGACAACAGGTCAGAAGCACCAGCTGGTTTGCGCAAGCATATCTGACTGCAAGCGACAACACAGCGTTGAATCAGAGGACGAATCAACTGTCGTCGGGGACCACAACGGGGCGAACCTCACAGATCTAGACATGGACGAGGGTAGTTTCCACCTTTTGCGACATCGCAAAGACAGGACGGTGGGCATTCCTGTGTTAATTGCTCCAACATCCGAAGGAGCGAAGTTGAGGCAAGTGAATACTATTCACCTTTACTGGGAAATTAAAACAATTCTCGGTGGAGCCCCAGTTAAGAGCCATTTCACAGCACAGGGAGCCCTGCTCTTAGATATAGAGACAGAACACCAAGCTAATATGCTTCTAGAAACCAACACTATCTGCGGCCTTGTCATATCTGCCCGTGTACCACACAGCTACATAAAAAGTACATGCATTATAAAAGGGGTCCCATGATGGTACCTGGACGAAGAGCTGTTAACCTACCTGAGACCTCAGGGAGTATACCACGCAAGAAGAATCGTACGACGGATCCAAACCTCATCCTCCAAGTGGGAATCAAGGCGCACTGACTCTGTGGCTCTCACAATCGCTCCCAATTCGGAACGTCCAGAGAAGATCAACCATGGCTTCACCAGACACGAGCTGGTAGACTACGTAGAGACGCCACCACGCTGTTTTAAATGTCAGCGTTTTGGACATGTTGCTAAGTACTGTCGTGGGGAACAAAGGTGTAAGCGCTGTGGGGGGCCTCATGACTTTAAGACGTGCACAAGTAAAGAAAAACTTGTGTGTGCAAACTGTGGCGGCGACCACCCAGCTAGCTACGGCCGATGTCTAGCACGAACAGCTGCGCAGCGAAGAAATAAGACGTTTGTCCTCGGCCCGAAGACTATGAACGAACCATCGCCCACAAACAAGACGTCCGGCGCGCCACAACATGGCGGTTTGGATCAGGAGTACGCAGAAAATTTTCCGCGAATAAATCCGACAAGAGCTGGCACTGAGTCAACGCAAGTGCTCAACGCTGGTGAGAAATGTATCACGAAAGAGTCCACCAAGCGCACCTACGCTGATGCACTGAGGCCACCTGAAGTACCACCCGGAAGCAAACAGCAAGGAAACCTCGAGCACGTTATATTCAAATTCAAATTCAAATTCTTTATTTCTGCCTTGTAGGGGTACAGACAGTGGAGGCGCAGAAAAAGCTGTCAGAGACAGCTTGACAAAGCCGCGACACCCTTTTGCTTAGCAGCAGCTTCACAGCAATGTTCATTAAACAACAGTATTAACATAGTGTAATGGCAAATACACAATAATCGACAAATACAAAAGAGACTCTAAAAGATATTATAAAAAAAAAAAAAAAAAAAAAAAAAAACTAAGCTTACATATTAACGTACATGGCACGCAAAGTATTCTTTGACGAACTGAAGAGATCAAAACCACTATGTAAATATGAATTTAGAAGGGAAGGAAGAGTAAATTGCAGGCGTTGTCGACCTAAGTTTATTCTGGGTGTCGGCACAACCCAAGACTCTCCATGCCTTGTCATAAATGTCATTTTTCGTGCATGCAAATCGGCAAGGTATCGTAGATGGTTTATATTTTTTAGAGTTTCGAGTTGAAACCTGACACTCAAACGGAATTTGTACAAGTTCTCGATCTTTATTACATTACTTTGCAAAAAGAGATCTGCACTGGGCGAGTGCCAAGGTACATTATGAACATGACGAAGGAATCTCTTTTGCAGAATGTAGATACGCTGAAGACAGCCAGGAGTAGTCGTGCCCCAGACTAAGTGGCAATAGTTTAAATAAGAGTAAAAAAGGGAATTGTACAATAGTAGTTTTATTGGTTTCGGGAGAACGTATTTGAGCCTGCCTACGATCCCAGTTATTTGAGCCAGTTTCGTTGAAATGTGATCCACATGCTGTTCCCAAGACATAGAGGAGGAAAAAACCACTCCGAGGCACTTAAATTGTTCAACCACATCTATACATCGCGAGTTCAGTTTAATGCCGAAGGAAAAAGGAACTGGTTTATTTTTAGGGCGGAATACGACAGCTTGTGTTTTCTTCTCATTGATACGCATGCACTTGGATTCTGACCATTTTGTAGCTCACTCATGGTATCATTGCAATCCCGAACAAGGATATCAAGATTATTTCCAGAAAAAAAGATGCTAGTATCATCAGCATAGATGATAAATTTAGCAGTGGTGTTGATATTGCAAATGTCGTTAAGATACATATTAAAAAGCAATGGTCCTAATATACTGCCCTGTGGAACGCCACAGGTAACAGACTTTAGTTCAGATTTTATGTTGTCAATGCAAACAGCCTGTTTTCTATGCGATAGATATGATTTCAGGAGCAACTGCGCCTGTCCACGAATACCATAACATTCTAAGTTTTGCAGGAGTATAGTGTGATTGACAAGATCAAACGCCTTCGAGAAATCTACGAAGATACCAATAACGAAGGCTTTCTTTTCAAACTGTGTTAATATATATTCCTTTTGTTCGAGTAGTGCTAGTTCAGCAGATTTATTTTTACAAAACCCAAATTGATTTGGTGATAGTAGGCTATGTTTATTAATAAAATCATACAACCTAGTATATAACACTTTCTCAAAAACTTTCGAAAATATTGGAAGTATGGATACTGGTCTATAATTACCTAAATCATTGCGATCTCCTTTCTTATATAGAACCGTTACTTTAGCAACTTGCATTTGTTTAGGAAATGTACCGGTATCTAAACATAGGTTAAATATGTCTGCAAGAGTAGGCGCAATGACGGCGGCAACATGTTTCACAGGTCTCACTTGAATGCCATCTATGTCACAGCTATGACTGTTTTTAAGGTTTTGTAACACTGCTATAAACTTCTTCTGTTGTAACAGGGCTCAGGAATATTGTATCATTATTAAAAGAATTAATGTATTTATTAGAATCATCGGACGGACTGTTATGGGCGAGAGTTGTAAAAAAGTTGTTGAAAACTTCCGCCAGTTCTACTCCAGATATATCTTTATCATTTAGCTTTAACATACGTAGGGAAGCCTGTGGTTGCTCCCGTCTAAGTAAGAGATTTAATCTTGACCACAGCAAATCATGGCGACCGTTTTTAACTTCAAGTAAAGTAGAGTAGTATTCCGCTCGTGCCTTACGCAATTTTTTTGTTAGCCTATTCCTGTATTTCTTAAATACCTTGAGGTCATCAGCTGAACGCGTATTTAAGAATACTTTGAACAGCTTATCTTTCGTTTTAATTTCTTCGCGTAATTCAATAGTTACCCAAGGTTTGCGCGTTTTGCGTTTTAATCCGCGCACTTTTAGTGGGAAGCAGGAATGATAAAGCTGCTTGAATACGTAGAGAAACTTATCGTAGGCCTCATTTGCATCATTTGAAAGGCCGGTGCCATCCCACTGAACTTGTGTTATTGAGTTGTAAAATAAACTCAGGGTTTGGTTTGTTATACGCTGATATGCAGCTTTTTCTTGCCAGTACTTTACCGCTGGAATCTTATTTATACTTAAGAACACCGGAAGGTGGTCGCTGATTGCGCATGTTATTACACCTGTTGCAGCTATTGGTTGAGATGAGTTCGTAATAAGCAGATCAAGAAGAGACGCACCCTCTGGTGTAACCCTTGTTGGAATTTTTATAAGGTTAACGAATCCGTTCGAAGCCAGAGTTGTGTTAAAATTCATAGCAAAATAATTATCCTTCAACAAATCAATATTAAAATCCCACCAGCTATTAATGTGTATTTACTGTCCGTTATAAATGAAAGGAAATTATCGTAAAACTGGAAAAACTTGAGCGCATTTCCCTTAGGGGGACGATAGCACACCGAAAACACGAACTGACCAGTACAGACTGATATGATTTCAAAATCATCAGTAATCAGAGAGTACGAGTCCAGCTTATCGCATTCTATATTGTTAGACACCAGCAAAGCAACTCCACCTCCTCGCTGGCTGGAGCGGTTCAGAGAATAAGTTTTATAGTGAGTCATCGTAAAGGTGTCAGAATCATTGGTGCTCCAAGTTTCAGTGAGCATGACCAAAGAAAAAGTAAATGAAAATTCACCGAAAAATTCCTCCAAACACATGGTCTTGTTTTTTACAGAGCGTACATTTAAGTGAATGGCTTTAAACGATGTTGGCTTAGTAGTACATGAAGTAATTTTATTAAGATCACTCGGAAGAAAATAACTCATGTGCTCCATCGTGATTACATTTCAAAAGAAAACAAAGCATTCAACGTGAAGCACTATAGGTGCTCTAAGTCGCTCTTTCCCTTCACATGCACAGCATTCACTCCCTCGCTTTTCCGAACGAGAACTTTTCCGTTGAGATACCAAACAAACTTGTAGCCTTTATCTTTGGCGCATTCTTTCGTTGCTTGGAGCAGTTCTCTATTGCGGCGTGTCAGATTTTCTTGCATGAAAATTGGTGGGTGGCTATCCTTAAGGTTCTTTTTATTCCTGATCCACTGGTCCCTTATCGCTTGCTTTGTAAAGCGGACAATGATGCCTGGCACCTTGCCATGTTTTGCAGGAATTCGATGAACATTCGCAACATCCGATTCCATTAAGTGAGGCACTTGAAGTTTGTCAGCTACGTCATTTAATGTGACCATAAGATTCTCATTTGCTACTTCTCTAATACCATGCAGTTCCAAGTTTAGCTGCCTGCTTCTAAATTCAAGGTCATGCATCTCTTTTTCAAGTTGGGCACAGGTTACTTGATTTAGGTCATCTTTTTTTTCAAGCTCAGACACCTTTTTTTTTTATGTCTTTTAAATCGGCTTCTTGATGGCAGAACTTTTGCTCAAATTCATCGAACTTTGTAGATATGAAGGTAAGAGACTCTTCAATGCTTTCAACTTTTTTTGTCAGGGGCATCAGCCGTTCTAACTTCTGGTTAATTGACATGAGGGCAAGCTTAATTTCTGTTTCAGAATCATTACTGTCTTTACTGCACATGTTGCCACCACTAGCACTTCTACACGACGGACACTGCCATGATTTCTTTGCGGCCTCGTTCTTTGCCTTGAACGACTTTTCTGTTAGGCCAGCGCATTTTCCAAAGTGATAACCGTTCTCGCACTTACAACATTCCACAAAGGGCTCGTCAGGAGAGATGAGCAGATTACATGTGTTACAAGAAAGAGACATTGTTTCAAGTGTAGCTATGCAACCACAATACGGTGCCCAGCGGTACACAAGCAAAACCAATAGCAGCAGCAGCGACAGCAGCAGCAGTAGAAATACTATTGCAACTGAATATTATTGAACACAGTAACACTAACCTGCAAAAAGAGCAGTTTTTGAGACGATGTTCACGGCTTGCTGCCGCTGCTGCTAAGTGGTGGGCGGGTCACCGTGCTCCGCTTTTCTTGTGCCGAGCTGGCTAGATGCGCATGTGCAGAGACGACTTGCGGGTGAATCCTCGTCCCAAGGGCAGATCCACGTGAAATTCGCAGAAGCGGTCCGGCGAAACACTTCTTGCAGTCCGTTCACTGCGGGTCCGGACGTAGACGACACTGCAAAAAGAGCAGTTTTTGAGACGATGTTCACGGCTTGCTGCCGCTGCTGCTAAGTGGTGGGCGGGTCACCGTGCTCCGCTTTTCTTGTGCCGAGCTGGCTAGATGCGCATGTGCAGAGACGACTTGCGGGTGAATCCTCGTCCCAAGGGCAGATCCACGTGAAATTCGCAGAAGCGGTCCGGCGAAACACTTCTTGCACTCCGTTCACTGCGGGTCCGGACGTAGACGACACTGCAAAAAGAGCAGTTTTTGAGACGATGTTCACGGCTTGCTGCCGCTGCTGCTAAGTTCGCGCTCTGTTCACCGCACAACGTTCACACGTCGCTAAGATGCCTGCGAGTTCAACGAAGGATATATTGGAAGCAGGCCTGGCTCTAGAGTCAGTGTTACTTTGCTCTGCTTTCACAAACGCACAGTAGAATAATGGCAATGTCTTGCCCACCTGCTCTATTTCGTCCTTCAAAAGTGCCCCTAATAATGCAATGAAACTGCGCCGGTCTTCTAAAAAGTCTGTGCGAACTCAACTTTTTCCTGCGCGACATTCCAATACCGATTCTAGCCCTCTCCGAAGCCGGTCTACCGAATGCAAGGACGCTCCTAGGGTACACCCGACACGGCAACCCGAGCATAACGTCGTTTGCAAATGGAAGCGCAATGATATACATAAGGCGGGAAATACCTCACGTCGCCTTACCAGTGCAAGACCTCTGTTCCAACTCACTGGAAGTCGCTGCTGTGCAAGTATGCCTGGGAAACCGAAAACTGAGTGTGGTATTGGTGTACATACGCCCACGAAAAAAGGTCTCCATGGAGACTTTGCTAAAGGACCTTTGCACTCGATGTCCCGCTCCTCAAATATTCTGTGGTGATTTTAACACGCACCATCCACTCTGGGGAGATAAGAGTGTAGATTTCGAGGCAAGGAACTTCTAGCAGCTGCGGATGCTGCCAACGTATGTGTGGCGAACGATCGCAAACTTACATTTTTCAGGCCACCAGATTCATGGAGTGCAATAGACCTTGCACTTCACTCCACGGACCTTCTGGTATCATCGACTACGGCCCCTGACAGATGGGCAGCGACCATTTCCCCACCTTCACCAATATCCTGGGATTTCGAACTGCTGGTCGACCATTCTGCAAGGTAACATGCTGGGACACCTACAGAGAAGCGCCGGACAAATCCACTGGTGAGCTGTTCGCAGATATGTTGCAAAGCAAGCGAGCAGCAACTTAGTTGCTGAAACTGCCCGACCATTTTGCTGCTCCTGACTTAAAATTGAAGACCCTCTACGCAGCACGTAGACGGGCGGAGCGGAAAATAATGAGAACAAAAGAAAATCCGTCTGCGAAAACAGAATATAAGAGGATAAACGCCGCGATTTGTCGCCATACAAAAAATTAAGACGAAATTATTGGGCCGCTTTCTGTGAGAGTTTATCAACGTTTACGCCGTTGACAAAGATATAGGCAGTAATAAATAGTCTTTGTGGGAAGATCCGAACACACACGCCATTCGAAGCACTCGCTTTGAAACAAGGGATAGATTTGCAACCCCTTGCAGAGGATTTCGCAGACGTGTACACATCTGGTAGATCAGCAGGAGCGGCTATTCCTCTGTCATTCCAGTTTTTTCACACGAAGGATACGCCATTCACCTTTCGAGAGCTGGATATGGCACTTAGCAAATTAAGAAGACGCTGTGCCATGGGTCCCGATTTGATCAGAAATCAAATGCTGACAATTCTACCATATGAGCGAAAAAGGGCCCTTTTGGACATATTTAATCATGTTTGGAGCACGGGAGAGATCCCATTTGTTTGGAAGACAGCATGGATGGTGTCAGTCCTAAAGTCCGGAAAGGATCCTGCGAGCCGTCATATCGACCGGTATCTCTTACATGCGTATTTAAGTTGATGGAAAGATTAAGCTGTACAAGATTAACTTGGTACCTTGCGATGGCCATCGTTTATGACAGGATTTAGCCCACGACTGAGTGACCAGGACAGTGTTTTGGACCTATTAGGCCACATCGAGCACCACCACGTCAACGGACTCTCGACATTCGCCGTCTTCAAGGACGTTGCCAAGACATATGTTTGTGTGCTTCAGGCAGACATCGTGAACGGGCTCTAAGCCATGGGTGTGTCGGGGAACGCTCTTCGGTTCGTACATGAATTTCTCAGAGACCGCTGTGTTCGTGTTAAGCTTGGAAATGTAACGAGCGAAAGAGACGCGTTTCCCTCGCCGTCCCACAAGAAAGTGTTCTATCTCGCTTGCTTTTTAACGCTGCCATGGCCAGCCTTCCCTACACTCTGCACTTAGCTCTGAAAGCAGTTAAAATATCCATCTACGCCGATGACATCTGCATTTGGTTCTCAGGGTACCACCACAAACGTTTGGCCCGGATAGCACAGAGCGCTATTGCAATCATTGAGCGTCATTTGTGGACACTTGGCCTATTTTTATCAGCGGAAAAATCGGCTTTAATGCTCTTCCCGGGAGCGTGACGGAAGTCAGCTCGTCTGTCGCTGAATATTCGAGGCCACTCAATTCGTTGTGCAACAAGTGTCCGTTTTGTGGGCATTACCATCGACAACAAGCTATTATGGCGACGTGCGGTTGATGGTATAGTCACTGCATCCGTGCAAAGGATCAACGCTCTTCGCCGCATGGCAGGGGTTCATTGGGGCAACAATCCTATGTTCATACTTAAATAAAATGATACGCCTATAACAAGCTGCATTCTTTATCAGCTGCCCCTGATATCACATCACCAAGCCAGTTCGAACGCCTAGAGGCAGTGCACAGAAAGGGTCTTCGCTTGGCGATGGGAGTCCCTCAGTCGGCTTCAAACACGAAGGTCACCAATGAAGCCGAGTCTTTTCCGCTCCGTCTTTTGGCGTCTCAGGCCTTATTGACGCAGCTGTCAAGACTGTGCGAGTCCTTCGCAGGCACGGTGCTTCTCCGGCGGCTAAGAGCAAGACCTGGCTCACATTTGAACGCGAAACTAAACACATTTCAATATTTTGGCTTGAAGCTGCCTAAACGGCGCCCATTGGACCCGCCATGGTCTCTTGTGGATGTTTCGTGTAACTTCAGCGTACCCAATCTATCAGCGAAGCGCACCATTCCCGCCGCGGAAGCAAAATTTCTTGCGCTGGACCACTTGAGCACCATGCACCGCAGCAAACTACAAGTGTACACCGACGGATCAGTGTGCACACAAACGGATAGCTGCGCAGCGGCTTTCTGATACCCTGCCTTGGCGTGTCATGGTCGGGCCGCCTGGATCGCGTGGTTTCGTTTACAACGGTAAAAGCGCTGCAATCACGGCGGCTTTGCGAAAATTGCAATCCTTTTCTGCACGAGATGTTGTATTGCTGACGGACTAAATCGGCGCTACAAAGACGGCATCATGACCTACCTCAAAAAGCGTTCACCAGGCAATCTCTGGCACTAATCAAACACCTAAATGTCAAGAGTTTTTATATAAAGTTCCAGTGGATCCCATCCCACGTTGACATTGAGGGCAATGAAAAAGCTGATGCCATTGCATGCGAAGCACGTACATTGTTTCCAAAAGTAAAAACTCCCGAAACGTGCAACAAATTTTGTTGGTCTTCCTGCGACACACTGGGCTCTCTGACACGTGGTGACATTTTCCTAATTCAGGAGATGCTCAGGCGGAACAATTGCCAGCCATGCAGGCCAGGCTAACCCCGCCTGCTGCAATAACACCACCACCACCACCTTGGTGATTTAGAGCACACCCAACGACATTGATGACATTCAGAAAAACTTATGATGATGTTGGATTCGCACGCATAGTGGGAACAAGTGCATTGTAGCTGACAACAGTATTATGGTTCAGCTTCGATATTTTCAGAGCTTTGGTCATTTTTTAAATGTTACTGTGATTTGGCTCCGATGTGGTTTCGACAATTACGAGTATGTGCAATACCTAAAGGGGCCCTGAAACAATTTTTGAAGCAACCACAGAATAGATTCACTAAAAGAGCTCTTTGATTTACGAATTCACTACCGCAAAAATCTTAGGAACATCCCCATCATAATAAGTAAATGTGCCGTGCACGGAAACGTCAAGTCTCGGCAAATTTTATGAGATTCATTTCAAGTTTGAGACCCCATCTAGTGGGCCCGGTGTTGAAGAAGGCAACTGCTTATTTGTAGTGGGCCTCTCCAAAAGGTTATAACACTTTTTCGCTGCCTTGCTACATTGTGGCAGGCAAGACTTTGAACTTTTTTTAGGTAACTACGCTGTGTAAATTGTGCGGCAGGTTGCATGTATCTCATTTGGTTGGGTTGTTCGGTGAAAAGCTGATTAAGCATGCAATCCGCTTAATTACAGAAGAGAGCTATGCATGGCCCAGCGTACTTTGAGATAAAGCAAGCCATCGTTTGTATTGAGATAGGTCTGCTCCTTTCTTTTCACCCGCCAATCCATGTTATTAGACATTTATTGAATAATGTAGTGTGCTTCTGATCACTCGCTTGTTCGTGTTAGTAGTAGTTGACAATCAAAGCAGATATATATGCGCACACACTACGCACGCTACGAATGCACGGACAAAATACAGATATGAACGAACATACATACATGCTTGCTACGCAAGCGCAACCTTCAGCCACGCGTTTGTGTGCGTGTATATGCACACATGCAAAATCAAAAGTGTTCGGGGGAAGTAATGTAACAGCCTAATTTAGGAATTGCAGAAAGCAAGCATAGAAAAAAACATACACTCACACGTCTAACTCAACACACTGAGTCATTGATATGTGGGGTTTAAGGTCCCAAAATCACCATATGATTATGACAGATGCCATAGTGTAGGACTCTGGAGATTCAGACCACCTTGGCTTCTTTAACGTCCATCCAAATCTAAGCACACGGGCCTACAGAGTTTTTGCCATCATCGAAAATGCAGCCACCGCAGCCGGGATTCAATCCCGCGACCTGCAGGTCAGCAGCCGAGTACCTTAGCCTCTAGACCACCACGGTGGCACAACGCAACACATTTCTTAAACCGCTTGCTTATATAAACGAAACTACAATTACCGAATGGAATAACCTTAGTAACGAAGTTGTTTTCCAATCATCCTTGAACCTTTCTGCAGCGCAGCTCTAGCAGTGAGTGTCTAAATTCTATGACATGTGCTCCTGTTGTTTATTTCAATCACTGTGACCATTCTCCACTTGGGATCATCTTGAATGTAGCGCTCATTCCTCTATATGTTCTTATGCCGGTTTAGTAC